AGAGAAACCATACAGAAAGGCCTTACCATCAAGTAGAAGTTACACCACTGTCATAAAACTTCACCAGATAAGCTTGCTTTGTGCATGAACTTGCCAAAATATGTACCTTACAAGCGTGATGCTACTGTTACCATCTGCGGAGTTTCGTCACATCTTCTCCGCAAAAACTCATCTTTTAAAATATAAGAACTGATCTTGAAACTTGAAAGTAGCATTAGCTCTTGTATCACAACAAGAACAACAGATGATTACAGGGCGTACAGGACATAAATTTCATTTCCATTGATTGAAATTTAAGATTACATACAAAAATGAGGACGTAGACCCAATCTCAAACAACTAACTGCAAGAACTTCTACTGTATCATTGAATTGACAGCAAAGATGGGTCACCTTTCTTGTACTTGAAACTGTATGAAAAGTTTCGGGATTTGATCCATTATTTTCTGGCACCCAGATTTCTATAATTTTCTGGAAACCAGATTTTGTCCTTTTCAGCTTTCTTGCTTTCTTCTTTGATTGGGTAAACAATTTGAAGGGGAAAAAAAAAAGTTGATCAAAAAATTGCAGCTCTATGTCTGAAAGTTTGGGCAAATATCAGCCATATGGTTCCACTCATCAAGTGCAACATCTTTTTACACAAGCAGAAATCTACATAATGTCTGGAAGGATCTATGGACGGAAGATGAAGACCGAGTCCTCATAGAAGCTCACTCAGAAGTTGGCAACAAATGGGCAGAAATCGCAAAAAGGCTTCCCGGGAGAACCAAAAACTCGATCAAGAATCACTGGAATGCCACCAAAAGACGACAACTCTCACGACGAAAATGCAGGACTAAATGGCCAAAACCGAGCTCTCTCCTCCAAAATTATATCAAGAGCCTACATTTAGAAAAAGAGGACATAAAAAAATCATCATTTACAAATGGGGCTAATAATGTTTCGTCTGCAGAAGCTACTCAACCGGATGATATTTTCAAGAATCCTCAAAAGGAAGAAGTGGCCTTAATTAGCTCCGAACAAGTTTATGATTGTATGGTGTCGGGTTTCGAATTTGACGAGGTCCCAGATTTTGGTTTTCACGGTTATTATGATGAAAAGTTCGATTCGATTGTGGGTTTGGCACTCGAAGCGCCTCCATTGATGCATTATGAAGGGGAGGAGGAGGTAGATTTTTTCAATGGGGTGGAGGATATGGATGCATGGTAGTGTTTTTTATTTTTTTGAAGAGTTTTTATACAATATGGGGTAAAATGTTTTAGCATGTTTAAAAGATGAGCAGCCTTTCGGATTTGATTGACATACCTAAGTCTATTTAGGGTAAATTCTTGATACAAGTTTAGAGTGACAAGGTTGATCTATGATGTAGCTCAACAATGTTTTAGGCAAGCATTTAAAAATAAATGTGCAAAGTCATTTTGGTACATGAGTTGAACTAAAATATGTACTTTAAATATAGTATTGTTGTACATTCTCCAACTACTGTACTGCTTTCTATAGCGATAGACACCGGTTAATTATTAAACTTTCACGGGTACTCATAAATGTTCGGAGTTGAGAGTATTTAGACGACTAAAGATCATTCAAATTGTGCTGACCACACATCCCAGTGTGGATTTTTAACCATTACTACAATGGAAGACCATGAAACTTCAATGCAATTTAATATTGGGGCCCTTTAAGTATGATTGAAAGAAAAATGAGTAAACTTTGAGCAAGGCAATGCCAGAACAGAGTTGCTCTTCTTCTCATAGAAATCAAAACCAATCAAATTTTATATTCAATCACCGGACTTTCTTGGATAATTCATCCTCAATTTCCTTCCTTCATCTGGACAGTTAGTGTCAAATCAAGAGACAGGAACAGAGCCTCTCATGACTTATTCAAAGGTTAATGAATTTTCCTTCTCATAATCAAATGGGCCCCAAACACAACTCAGTGGTACAACAGTTAATGTCATCTGTCCATAATTCAATGCCCAACCTAAATCTTCAAGAATTTTTCTCACAGTTTTTTGAAGAACTCATCTCTNATATTTAACCAAAAAAAAAAAAAAAAAAAAAAAAAAAGACAACCTGAAAGCAGTTTTGAGTGAGTGATATGGGTCCTTTATACGACGACTTGGACGCTTGCAATAACTACGTTTTCCTCCAAGAGTACGATAAAGCCTTGCAAGATAATTTGGATTCGCCCATGCCATGGGTAGGCGTGTACATTGCAGCAGCTTCGGGTGCCTGCTTGTTGGCTATGGCTGCCGATGCACTCAAAGGTTTCCGCACTCAAAAGCTGTGGTTCCCCTGCAAGTACTTCTCTCTCAACGCTTTCTCCTTGACCCTTTTGGCTGTGGCCATGAAACTCCCCATTGATATGACTACCGATATGCCGGGCTTCAGTGACAAACTTGCACGCGTTAGCAGCCTAGTCTTGATGTCAACAGCCATGTCCAATCTCATGGCTTCTTTCGGATCCATGACAAACAATGAAATCGTGCTGAATACGGCTTCCCTAGCCATTCTTGTGCTCACTGTCACGGGGAACGTGTGCATAAGGTTAAATCGAACTTTGTCTCTTGATTATGTCGACCGAGTAGCTGTAGCTCAAGAAATCGTATCCGTTGTTTGCATGCTCCTTTTGCTTGTGGCATTATCTTCTTCCGCCATCATGGTGCCCTCGTCCAAAAGACACATAGAGTTGCAGTACAATCAGATGCACAGAAAGATAGTTATGGAAAATAATTATTACGCGACCATAAGTGAACTAAGACTAATGTTGCGGAGGTATTGGGTGATGGCCGAAAGCGGGAGCCCTCAGTTTGTGGTGGCGCGCTCCGCGACGTGCGTTAGTGTAGGCGTGATGTGTATGTTGATGGTTCTAACATTATTAGAAGCTCATATTAGGATACCGCTAAAGTATTTTGCTACGTTGCGTTCTAAATATAAGTGGTCCATTCTAGGGATCCTCGTTCTTCAAACCGTTGGAGTGGCGGTGGGTACCGTTGCTCCTTTGATAAGATGGTTCAATGCAGCTCAGCTCAAGAGCACGACAAAGATTGGCTGCAAAGGCTTTAGAGACGAACTTAAGGTCGAGTCGTATTGGACTCATATGCTGATGCAATGCAGAGATAGGCCGCTGCCTTTGAAAACCGGTGTTGATGACCTCAAGTTCAAAAAAACTCTTCACGATGCGAAGAGATTATTTCTGAATTTCTGTTTGGGAATTCAGATTCTTGTTGTTCTCGGCAGCAAATTGCTTCTACTCGCTTCCGCTGTCTCTATGCAAGGACTAGTCTTTTGCTTCAGCCACTTCATCAAATGCGAATCACCGAGTGAAGAAGGTCTGGATGATTTGAGTGAGTACGTTCTACGGCTCCAAGGCGAAGCCAAGCTGTCTGAAAGGACTCTCGGAAACATGTGCGCCGAGGTGGATAAGCTTGTCCGAATCGGAAAAAGTAAGCAAAACAACAACAAAAACTTAATCGAGCTTCTCGAGAAATCCGTGAGCTTCAGCGGCGTGGCAGAATTCGACAGGCGAGAAAGAGTCGAAAGTTTGATTGATTCACAAGAACCGCCCAACTGCTGGTCTCTGCCGGTCGTGACCTTGACGAGCATCGCCATTTCACTTCCAAACATAGCAAATCAAAAGTCTGACCAGTTGTTGAGTGGTGTGAGCCAAGGTCTCTACTTTGCCAATCTAATAGAAAAAACTCTCGACACAAACAGAGAATTAGCCAGCATTAGAAACGCAGCAGAGGTTGTCTGGGTCGGAGTCGAACTGTACAGGAAATGGCTCGATAAGGATCTCCGCAAAGCACCGTTGCGAAAACTCTCGACCACTGCTCAAGAGATGGTCAAGAATTTTACGGCAGACCCGAATAATAACTTTCTCGTGCACGACCCTCTTAGTTGGCCGGTCAAAGCCATAGCAGCCAACTCAATGTACCGTATTACTCAAACTATCCTCCTAGAATCACACGATGATGACGAACATGAGGAGCTGTTGTTCGAGAGGTTGAATATCATGATCTCGGACATACTTTCGGCTTGTCTCTCGGCGAATTTGGCGCGTGTGATAAGATTTAAGTGTCACAGTGATAACGTCAAAGAGAGGGAAGAAAGCATCCGCCAGGCTGCTCGTCTTTTAGGCGAGAGTGAAGAGATTCTCGAGATTCTTCAAAAGCGTGAGATTCCAAGCTTGGAACCCGAAAATGCAGCTACGATCGAAAGGTGGAGGGCTTTTATGGAGCACAATAATGAAAATCCAGTGGCCTCTGCCTCTGCAATATCTGCACAAGAAAACTAGTATTCATATACTTCATAGTTGTTTATCATTATATTCTTGCGGAATATTGAGATTATTAGTAAGACATTAGTACTGTTTATCATTATACTATTGTTCGTTCTTCCTGCTGACGCTTCCTGTTGAGATTATTCTTGTGCAATAAAATAACTGTTTCAATGTGTATTGGGTTTTTCTTAGATCTAAATAGTTTGGTATGCATTTTCCCCTTCACAAACTGGATTTCTGTTATCCAGTCATGAGTACTGTTGCTTTGCTCCTCTATCAAGAACACCAACAATTCATGTAAAAATAATCTCTCAAGTCACTATATCATTAATCATGACAAACTCAAAGGCCTCAAAATAGTGTGTCCATCTCATAACATAGCACAAAATTCAACGATAAATAAACTAACCAAGCGGAAAAAAAGCACCTTCCAATCGGAAAAGAGGCTGCACTGCAATCTTCTCCCACCTCATTAAGCCTTTAGTGCGCTAAGCAAAGCCAAATCCTCTGCCGAAACTCCATTCACCTCCATTTGGACTTTCAACTTCAATCTCACCATTAATTCACTCCCACCCTCATCTAGAACACATTTATCCACCGACTTGCAGACAAATGTCTGGAGACAAATGCATTAACATAAGAAAAAAAAAAAAAAAATATGACAAAATTATGGGATATATCAAAAAATAACCATAGTAGTAAACAAAAGTTCTTGACAACTTAGGAAGCACGGTTTATATAATCTTTAATACAGGCAACTTAATACAATAGTCCTGACCATTAAGACTTATTCTTCACATATCAAGCTTATTTTCTTTCCTCGAATAATTATTTACAGCTTAAGTCGATTATTTCAGTATAGCACCAGCTTCAGTAAGCAACGGAACAAGCTCGCCTCGTTCGTGTTTTGCAGCTACAACTGCAGAACAACAGAAAGCATAAACGGCTCAGTTAGTTTTCTACGTAGCATAATTACTGCAACACCCATTAACTAATCAACAATTACAAAAAGAACCAGAATCATCTTTCATCACATAAGTTGTAAAATAGATGAATGATAACTGAAGTTCGTTTCATAAATAGACTAACTTCCAAGGGTGTTTTCATAATAAATCGTAACTTTAATAATAGCACAGAGGCTTTACCGTCAGAACCACCAATGTGTTTGCCATTTATGAACACATTTGGGACAGTCCTCTGCCCCGTCCACTCTGCAAGAGCCGTCTGAATTTCATCACCGTCACCTTAAGAAAGAAATAAACAAAAATAATAACAAAGTTCGTAAGTTGGAAGTTTCAATAATAAGTGAGAATGGAAGTTAATATATAGAAAGAACTCACTTTCCTCATCAAGTTCGATAATTTTGTAAGTAGCTTTCAGTTGGGATAGAAGCTTTTTCACCCTACCGCAATATCCACAGTATGTTTTGCTGCACAAAATGTAAGAAAAAAAGGCGTAAAATTACAGCTCTAAGTCTACTAAGTTGTTAGCATATTGATCAATAAAGGAAAAGGCGAATAGAAGTGCCCAAGCTAGAGCCGCAGTATGTGTACATACTGAGACACTGTAGACACAAGGGTGTAGCATCACAAAGTAAATATGAAAATCAAGAAAAGATAATTTATGTAGGCGAGCTTGCATTAACTAAATGAGCGCAATCTCGATTCGTTTATGATTTATCAATATTTACAAGCCAAACTCGAGCCTTAACGAGCTGAGTAATAGAAAATTACATAAAAACTCATATTTTGGAGCATTAAAGGGCCTTCTCGGCTCAGCTCGTTAACTAAACGGGCTTCAAGAAAGCCGAGCCGAGCCCAAGCCATAACGAGCCGAGCTCACGAGCGTCTCGTTATGACTAACACCTCTTGACAGATTTCCAAACGAGCAATTTAAAGTTAACTGAACCATAAATCAGGCTGAAAAGTCGTACTTAATTCATTCCATCCATGAATTTAAAGATGTCACAATCTTGACCTTTTTTGCCATTTTTTTTTTTTTCTCATTTCAGTTTAGCATTTCAACCTGCTAAGCCCACAATGCCAATGGCAGCTTATTGACTCTACAGGGGATACACAAGATATTGAAGCCTTGAAATCAAATTAAGAAATTCATACAAATTCAAACAACACAGTCCGTCAAACATCAAATCAAACAATTCAACATCAAAATTCTTATCACATTAATGTTCTTACCGAAACAAAAAAAAAAANTAATTTCACATTTTTATGGTTCCAAAGCACAAAAGAAAAAGGGAAAAAGATCAGTTTTGTTTCTAAAAGCCCAGACAAACAAACCTGAAAACCACAACAGGTTTTGACGAGACAATCTGCTTGGCCTTCGCAAGAGCCATTTCTATATCTTCTCTCTTCTGGGCTGAGCTGAAAATCGATCCCATTTTATTTCCCCTCTTCTTTTGTAGCTTTATATATTCAGCAAATTCTTTATATATGAGAGAAAGTGCTGAAGGTCAGGAATCACCTTAGTGTCCTCGACCTCGTTAAAGAAATGCACAGATATATATTGGGCTGATTTTGTTTCGAACTCAACTGCTTTTCTGCCTCTGCGAACAAATTCTTTTCTTTGGCATCTATTGAAATCTTCCTTTCATTAGAAAATACGTTTGACTCTATATTTCATGGGCATAATTCTTTTTTGGCATGCTCCAAAAGTTCAAAATAGCTATTATTGTTATATTTAATTCAATTTTATTTTTTATTTCATGGGAAATTTTTTTTTAACTTTAGATCATTTTTATTTTATGCTCATGTGTTATTAGGTTCGTATTTTTTTTATGGTGTTTATGTTTTTTTTTTTTTTCTTTGAATTTGCAAACAAACTAAACAAAGAAAGAAGAAAATACAATTGGAAGATAGTCCTTCCAATGATGAGAAGAAGGTGAATCAATCACCCACTTAGCTATATTATGAGCCGCTTCGTTGTCCTTCCGTGAAACATGGCAAATTGAACTGCACTCTAACGCGATTAAAAGATATTATCTCCTATTCTTTTTAAATGTTATTTTGGCTTTATTAACTATTATGCAAATAAATGTCGTTTTGAATCTTTTGTACATATTTTTTTATTATTACCCTCATTTAGCTAATACATACCTTACGTCTTTTCATATTCACTCTTCATTTTTTCCAAAACATCATTCTCTATCTTCATTAAAGAGGGTTATTATTGACAAAAAAAATATTTTTAGTTACTGTGCAACTTCTTAAAACGACACTTGTTATGAATAGGAAGGAGTACCTAATTACCGTAAACACTTCAAAGAGGGAGTCCAAATCCTCCGAATTAATAAAGAGGTGTTTATGTTGTTAATATCCACTATACTTTGGGAAAAAAGTAAAAAGGAGGAAGATCAATCTATAATTCTGCAGAGGTTAATTAATAATACCTTAATTTTCTGTAAGCCTTTAAATGAAAGAATTGAATGCTACAAATATGAACACAACCATGTAACCTTACCAACAAGTAATG